GGATCAGGAGAACTCTACCAGACTGGGTGGCTCGTTAAAAGCAAGTGACAACGACGGGGCTGCTGCTCTGATAGCTCAACACTTCCTACAGAGCATGCTTCGAGTCGCGCAATCTCGGCAGGACGCATATGCTCTCACTGCGATTGAATTAATTGCCAGCATTAACCGTCAAGGACTGGTTCATCCCAAAGAATGCGCAGGCGTGTTGGTTTCACTGGAGACATCCACCGTGCCAGCGATTGCCAAGGTTGCATTTGACACACACAAGATGCTGCATCAGCAGTATGAATCAATGTTCGAAAGAGAATATATGAGGGCGGTTCAGGAGGCTTTCTATTACCAGCGCGATGTGGTCGGTGATTCTAGCGGCGCTCTGGCCCGACCTTACGTTGCAAAATTGGCACCGCTTTTTGATATTATCAAAACCAGTAACAGTCGATATCAGAAGAAATTCCTGTCCAACCTGTGCTCGAAGGTAGACTTTGAATTGAAGAAGCTCGATAGCACTGGGGACCCGCCAGAGCATCTTCTACTTGCGCGATTTGTGTCTCAGAATCTGGCATTCTTCGATTATGGCCAGCTTGCTGAGCTGGTCTCAGCAGTTGGATGCATGGAGCGCATTGTTTCCGCGACAGGAACAGTTGTAGCCCATTCGATCGAAACAGAGATTTTCCCGCCTAGGATGAAGGCACCACTGGGAGGACCGTCATCCGAACCTCTGCCACAAGGGCCAGTAAACGCAGAGCCTCTACCACCTGTCAATCCGTCCGTGTTACGGCAACTGGCTACAGCAGCCGCATCCCTCTCAATGCTTTGGGAGGCTCGAACATACCTTCGCCGTCTGTATGGGATACACGCCCATGTACGAGACAAGGAAGGCAAAGCTGCGGCCAAGGAGCTGAACAAGTCCGCCACCAAGGTGCAAGGAGTGACCGGCGACAAGTTTTGGGATGCCATATCTCGGAACATGGACGCACTGAATAGCGAAGAGCAAATGATCAGCAAATGTCGAGAATTTGCCACTTTGCTTGCGATTGATGATGAGTTCAGGGTCGGTGAGGACGAGGATGCTGAAGGCGACAGCTTCGACGGTGTCGCTGACCTTGACGACACGGGGGCTGGTCCAGGGTCCGTCAGTGGGCAGCGACCTGGCAAACGGAAGAATTCTCTTTCTGGTCAAAACCCCACGAAGCGACCCCGGGGAAGAAAGAGTGGCTCCGGCAAGAAAAGAGCCAGCACGGAACCAGACGATGACATGGATTGGGGCTAAGATCTCCAGTAGTCAGTTGGCCAGGCACGGCCAACGATTGCATTTTTGGCTGTGCATTACATAGACGTCGCATACGGGACGGCAAACGGCGTTCGGTGGGCTTTCAACTGCTTTTCTATCTCATGAGATATTTCTTTATCTAGCTATTCTGTTATATTAAAATGACGGCGGGAAGGGGATTTGCTTGATGACCAATTCTTATCCTTATGGCTGGCTCTTTGTGTTCTCTATTCGTTTTGGGCTGCCTGCACGTTAAGGCCCATGTTTCCTGTGTCCATTTGCTGGGACCAGGCACAAGGACGATTCGTTGAACATTCTTCATCAGTTAGCTGCAATATACCACACAAACGACGTATCTTTGGTTCCGGAAGTGATGAGACTTTATCTAGAGAGGTATTCTAGCCAAGTTCTTTCGCAGCTTTAGCGATGCCAAGTTGTTGCCGAGATACCCACTGCTATATTTACATGCGTCCCCAGAAGGCTTAGTGCCGATTGTTCTTAGCGTGGTGGCATGACGTAGCCGGGTCGCTCCATTCCTTTTACTATTCGAAAGACTTTCTTCGCGGTCAACTCTCCATCGACCAGTCTTTCTTTTTCTGTGTTCTAGTTTTCGATTCTCCCTCTTGCCATCTCATACTCCCTCATTACAGGTACAATCTTGCAGCATTGACAGAATCTGGCACCCTGGATAGAATCACCTAGCCGCACATCTCATCCCTATCAGCCATGAGCACGGTGTTACTCCGAAGCCGCCCAAACACTGCGGCGCTCAGGAGGATCTGTCTTGTAGCGCATGGAGGTCAATTCCCGAAGCCTCGCTCCTCAATTGGCATTGCTTCACCTCGAGCTTTACATACAACCCGGCGGCGACCAGTGACCCAACAACGTATCTCAAATATCCTGCGCAGTGCGTCGTTATCAGTCCGATATGAGTCGACGACAAAGGACCCAATGGCTAAAGCCGCCCGCAAATCTCCGGCCTTTAACATACTCGTAAAGTCTTTCACATACTGTGGCTTTTTCATTGTCATGAGCGGTGTTGCAGTAGTCGCGTTCTTCATCTACGATGCGACCACATACCGAGAAGATCCTAGCTCAGAAGACATTCCTGTGTCTGAATTGGCTCTTAACCCTCGACGCGGGGGCCCGAAGAACCTGCCTATAGCGGAGGTCCTGGTGGGAGACAAGGACTCGGAGGCGATGGTACAGCAAAACGACAAGCCACGTTTGGTGATTCTGGGGACAGGCTGGGGCAGTGTCGCGCTTCTTAAAAATCTCCACCCTGGCGATTATCATGTCACTGTGGTATCGCCGACGAACTATTTCCTTTTCACGCCTATGTTGCCCTCTGCGACGGTTGGGACTCTGGGGCTGCGCTCGCTTGTTGAGCCAGTCCGGCGGATCGTCCAACGGGTTCATGGTCACTTCTTGAAGGCCGAGGCCGAAGATGTGGATTTCTCGGAGAAGCTGGTTGAGGTGTCCCAAGTTGACGCCAATGGCAAAAAGCAAAACTTTTACCTTCCGTACGACAAGCTAGTAATCGCTGTTGGTGAGTGCGGGCCATGAATCACTTTCCTGTTGTCGATACTAAGTCTGGACCACACAAGGATGCGTCACAAACCCCCACGGCGTCAAAGGACTCGAACATTGCAATTTCCTAAAGACGATTGACGATGCCCGTAAAATCAAGAACAAGGTCCTCGAGAACATGGAGTTGGCTTGTTTACCGACCACTAGCGACGAGGAACGTCGGCGTCTGTTGTCGTTCGTTGTCTGTGGCGGTGGCCCGACGGGCGTTGAGTTCGCGGCCGAATTGTTCGACCTGCTGAATGAGGACCTTCTTCACTCGTTCCCCAAGATTTTGAGAAATGAGATTTCCGTTCACATCATTCAGAGTCGGGGTCATATCCTGAACACTTACGATGAGGCTCTGTCTAAGTACGCGGAAGTACGCATTTCACCCAGCTCACTGAGATAAGAAGATGGATGAGGCTAATGCATGCAGGCCCGTTTCAACCGTGATCATGTTGAAGTCCTGACAAATGCCCGAGTGAAGGAGGTTCGGGACGACAGAGTTGTGTTCACTCAGGTCGAGGATGGCGAGCCAGTGGTGAAGGAGATCCCAATGGGTTTCTGCTTGTGGTCGACCGGAGTTGGTATGTGATTCTTATCCTGGTGTGCTACGTACTCGGAACTGACTGATGCACAGCTCGCGCTGAACTTTGCAAGAGACTCTCAGACAAGCTCGAGACTCAAAACAACAAGCATGCTTTGGAAACAGACGCTCACCTGCGTCTGATCGGAGCTCCCTTAGGTGACGTGTATGCCATCGGTGACTGTTCGACCGTCCAGAACAAGGTGGCCGAGAATATCATTTCTTTCCTGCGTACTATCGCCTGGGAGAAGGGCCAAGATCCCGAGAAAGTTCACCTCACATTCCGGGAATGGAAAGACGTAGCCAACCGAGTCAGGAAGCGTTTTCCCCAGGCAGCCAACCATCTCCGCCGGCTAGACAAGCTCTTCGAACAGTATGACAAGGACCACTCCGGTACCCTCGACTTCGGCGAACTGCACGAACTCCTCCACCAGATCGACACCAAGCTCACCTCCCTGCCTGCCACCGCCCAGCGCGCCAACCAACAAGGCGAATATCTGGGCCGCAAACTCAGCAAGATTGCAGCCGCGCTCCCCGGCATGCGAGCCAACGAGATCGAACACGGCGATGTGGACGACATCATCTACAAGCCCTTCAAGTACAAGCATCTCGGCAGCCTGGCGTACATCAGCAACGCGGCCGTCTTCGACTTCGGCGGACTCAGTTTCAGCGGCGGCGTTCTGGCCATGTACCTCTGGCGAAGCGTCTACTTTGCGGAGAGCGTCAGCTTCCGCACGCGGATCATGCTGGCCATGGACTGGGCCAAGAGAGCACTCTTTGGACGAGGTCTGTTCCCCTCGCATCATGCTCTTCTCTCTCGTGGGTTCATAACTAACTTTTCGGCTTTCGATAGATCTTATGAGCTTCTGATCGGAACCTTCTGGATATAGGCAGCCTGCCCTGGCAATCCACCGTTAAAGAGATACCACTCTATCCATTCATGATCGTGGTTGCTGTTAGATCGATAAGGATCTGAATACCCAATTTCTTCATATCGCATTTGTCCATATTATGCTATTTGGCTAGGGCTCACTCTCGTTGAAATCGATGTTGGTTGAGTATGTGTTGCTACTCGGTTTGGGGTTAGTGATAGAACTCGTGCTTGGTGTTCTTAGAATATATATACATGACAGCACCCTTTCTGCCAATGCTGATAATTGTGTTTGATGGTATTCCCCTGACAAATATAGATGATGCTGTCAATTTGATTGATAAGTATCGACTCACAAGAGCTAGAATGTTTGCTACTAGTCAAGCATTGGTCTTTGTGTTCTGATGACCTTCGGCGCTGCAACGGGTCAGAGACGTGTGAGTTAACATGTGCATGGACTGCTATAGAATGGCCAAGACAATTTCAGACGCGAATAGGAGGACGAAGAAAGGTTGATGTTTGTTTGGATATATTTACAATAATCAATGATTGATTCTTCATTTGTATTCAATTGCCTCCCTTATGGAGGATAGTACTATTGTTAAGCGCTCAGCGGCTGCAGATGAAAAAAATCAAGCCCGGACTCCTCGCTAGACTGGAAATGCAGCAGAGAGCATCAAGCAAAAGCAATGCAACATCGCTGATCATGAAATCATCGGGTCAACATCTCCGTTGTTGGCCATTACAGTATCATTCGAAGCACCATTCTGACTGGCGCTCTGAGCGTTCTTTACGTTGTTGCCATCATGGAGTCCGAGGTCCAGCTTCTCAGGAAGATCCTTCTTGGCTTCTCGGGCTTTCTGTTCCGCCCAGGCGCGCAACTTAACCAGATTGCGCAGCCGAGCTTCTTTACGGGCACCCTGGCTTTGCAGGATAGCTTCATTTACCCTGGTAGCAATGTCTTTACGTAGGTCAGGATGCAACAATGGCGCCAGGGATGGCGCCAGGTTCTCAGAAGGGAAGATCAAAAGAGCAAGGGTGCGCTCAAGGTCCTCGAGAAACTGAGGGTTGGTGGGCGCCCGCGGAGCGAGCTGTGAGGTCGCAAACTCGAGGGCAGGACTGATGTCACCATTGGGCGTTGACATGCACGTACGGATCAATTCCACAAGCTGCAAGCGAAGCAATGCAAAATGCAGAGACGGATTTTCATCCAAAATCTATACAGACGAAGTCAGCACGGCATATTCAACGAGTGTATGACGATGTTGACATGACAGTTGAACAGTTTGCTAATCATACTGAGGACTGAAGATGTTTGTTTTTCATCAAAACCCGTAAGGGGATTTATGAGTGGTGCATGTAAACCGATATAATCCTAGCAAGGGATGGCGGTGGGGCAGAAGGTTTAGAATGGAAGTCTTCGTACCTGTGGGTTGAGATCATTGATCTTCTCGATTGCAGCTTGAATGTTGCCAGAATGAATCGCAGTGCGAATCTCTACTCTTTCCTGGATAGACTCAATGTCCGCCCTGGGTTGTATGTTGGCCTCAACTGCAAATTTCTTTGCAGCAGCTGGGTAGCCATTGGTAATGAGGTAATCCATCACTAGATAGTTGATATCACTGAGCTGATTGTCAGCAATTGCAGGCGACTCAAAACGTCAAGAGAAAAGTCAAGTGAGGACCGATTCAGAAACACAAGTTAACATATTCTCCTCAAGAAGTTTCAGAGAGATTCCCAACTTGATTTCATGATCATCATAAAACGGTGTTCAGGAAATGAAAAGCAAAAAAATAGGCAACTCACGTTTTGGAGGGTTTGACCTCATCGACCTTTCGCTCGAACTGATGCCATGTTGGCGTTGTTGTCGAGGAAGTGGGAGACATCTGCATCCCGTTAAAATCAAGCTATTACGCGCGCACAACCCGTGGGAGAGCATACGTAATTAGCTGAAGACATTGTGGGATATTGTGGCGTGGACCTTGATGCAGGTATCAAGTGCCTTGGAACTGCTCCGGCTGTCTGTGAAGATGGAAAACCTCGCAGACGGAAGCCATGGAGAGAGAATCTCTGAGGGGGAAAAGAGAAGTGAAGAGGAAGAAGAAAGAAAAGGAAAAAGCCAGCAAGAAAAGCGGCAGGTTTTTGGGTCACGCTTAGAGCTGTAGGACTAAGACTAAACCGTAAGCGAAAAGTCACGGGCCCAGGCTAAGCCCAGTCAGTCTAAGCGCCATCACTACAGCAGCTTTTGAGGGTTCCCAGCCTGATCATTATTATCTGCAGTTCTTATCGGCCCAGAGCTTTTTAGCACTGGCGATTCCTGACCTGGCCGTCATATATTTTCTTCTGGATGATATGTGTGGAAGGTCAGGAATCTGTTGCTCAATCTAATTATTCTAGCCAAGGAGCTTTTACTTGAACAAGTAGCAACATGGAGTCTATGTCTCCCGTTTACTCGTCGGCCACTGAGAAGAGATACTACTCTCCACCATGGGCGGATTTGAGTATTATTGGGATTGCAGGCAGTTCGGGGTCTGGCAAGACGTCCGTGGCAATGGAGATTGTTAAATCCTTGAACCTGCCATGGGTTGTGATTCTTGTTATGGTACTAAGGACCCATTCGAACATCACTCCCATAGATAAAGCCAATTTTGTGCATCCTCGTGACTTCTAACCCTTTCTGGTGCAGGACTCGTTCTATAAGAGTTTGACTCCAGAGCAACATGCCAAAGCACATTCAAATGAATTCGATTTCGATTGTCCGGATGCAATCGATTTCGATGCATTAGTAGAGACGTTAAGAGATCTCAAGCAAGGGTAATTTCGCTCCTTGCTCCTTCGTAACCATCAAGGTCTCCGAAATTGCACGCAGCTAACGGCAAATTTTGTCAACCAAAAAAAGAAAGAAAGCAAATATACCGGTCTATTCTTTTGCTCAACACCAGCGCCAACCTCATACGACCACTCTTTACTCGCCGCATGTTTTGATCTTGGAGGGAATTTTGGCACTCCATGATCCGAGAATCATGGAGATGTTGGATGTCAAGGTAATTCTGCTGTCACGCACTTACTACCTCAAGATACTTATCAGACCTTCTCAGATTTTTGTTGAGGCAGATATGGATGTTTGCCTTGGACGCAGAAGTGAGTGAAGATCGTGCCAAACATGATTAACTATCCTAACCGAGGCGGCGCCAGTATTGCGTGATGTTCGGGAGAGAGGCAGAGACATTGACGGTATCATTAAGCAATGGTTCCAATTTGTCAAGCCATCGTATAAGCAATACGTCGAACCTCAACGGTCGGTATCGGGTAAGCTAGCACAAAGTTCGCTCCCGGTTTGCTTGTCTGACGGAAGTAGATATTATTATTCCCCGTGGAATCGAGAACAAAACGGCCATCGGTAAGTGAACATGTTGAGCTTCAGTTTGCATGCCCTTGCTGAATAGCTCTTAGATATGGTTGTGAAACATATCCAGCGCAAACTTCAGGAGAAATCTGAAAAACACAGCGCAGAGTTACAGAAGCTGGAGATGATTGCTGCAGAAGAACAATTGTCTGCGAATGTTTTCCTCATGCCTCAGACCCCCCAATTCGTCAGCATGAACACAATATTACAGGACCCTGCGACGGAACAGGTCGATTTTGTGTTCTATTTTGACCGGCTCGCTTGCCTACTAATAGAGAAGTGCGTTGACCCTCATGTGCCAGCCTCTGACAAGTTCAAGTTCGTGACTGACCATAACGTTGCGTAACAGGGCCTTGGACTGCACTCGGTATCACCCGGCAAAGGTCGAGACCCCTCAAGGGGATGATTATAACGGATTGCATCCGGAAGGCCTAGTGTCCGCTGTAGCAATTTTGCGCGGTGGTTCTTGTCTTGAGACAGCTCTCAAGCGAACCATTCCTGATTGTATTACTGGTCGACTGCTCATTCAGACGAACGAGCGGAACGAGGAGCCAGAGCTGCATTACTTGAAACTGCCGTCAGGCATTGAAGAGCACGCAACGGTCATGCTCCTTGATCCTCAAATGGCTAGTGGAGGAGCGGCTCTGATGGCGGTTCGGGTCTTAGTCGATCACGGAGTCGCGGAAGACAGAATTGTCTTTGTGACCTGCGCTGCTGGAAAGGTTGGGCTTAAGCGGCTCAGCACCGTTTACCCTGAGGTCAGGGTCATTGTAGGGAGGGTCGAGGAGGAGCGAGAGCCTCGGTGGTTGGAGAAGAGATATTTTGGATGTTAGACTCTGAGGGGTCAGAGGGTTGTACATTGAAAGTGTCGGTGCCGGGAAAGGATTTGCATTTACTTTGGTCTATCGTGGCAGGCGATAACCAAGCGAGTAATGTACATACCCATTTACGCAGTATATGAAGTATGATTGGCAATTAAGGTACGGAAGCATAAAGCATGAGCCCTATGTATGTAGAATGATATTGTGGTAGGAACGCACGGACCAATGCAGAAGCCGGCGCAGATTCTTTGGTTCCACCGCTAAAAGAAAATTATCCTTATCAACCAAATCTCATAGAAAAAGGCGCCCCAAAGGTGCTAGAGATTCCAAACAACATTTCAAGTCTCTCATTCGCACGGTCGCATCCTCACCAGAGTCAATAATTTCAAATCTCCTTCCGTGGAACATCCACGATGCCCGACTCAAAGAAATCCAAAAAGAGCGGCAAGGCCGACAAGCAGGCCGGGACTGTTATCAGTACGATCAACTCTTTTCGCTCTTGCTCGCCAGTCTGTCGTGATAAATGCTAACTCTTGACTGTTTCCTTCTAGCCGATCCCAGATTTGCTAGTATCCAGACGGATCCACGATATCGCCTTCCCAGCAAACGCCAGACCCATGTGAAGCTTGACAAGCGTTTTGCGCATATGCTGCGCGACAAGGACTTCTCCCGGAATGCCGCTGTTGATCGCTATGGACGCAAGCTTGCACGCGATGACACGAAGAAGCAGTTGGAGAGATTTTACCAGTTGGAGGGGGCCGAGGGCGAGGGTGAAGATGAGGATGAGGAGGAAGATGGAATGGTCGCTGATGACGATGACGAGGTTCGCAAGGAGTTGAAACGGGTAGATAAGGCGTATGATCCTGCTCGGGACGGAGGGTTCTCATCCTCGTCCTCGGAAGAGGAGAGCTCGAGTGACGAAGAAAGTGAAGAAGAGGACGAGGAGGAGGAACAGAGTATTGAAGAGCTGGAGTTTCCCGATAAACAGCAGGTGGATGTGCCGACGGGAGAAGTCACGAATCGCATTGCGGTGGTCAACCTGGACTGGGACAATATCCGGGCGGAGGATCTGATGGCTGTGTTTTCCAGCTTTGTTCCGACCGGGGGTCGGGTGTTGAAGGTCTCTGTGTACCCGAGCGAGTTTGGCAAGGAGCGCATGGAGAGGGAGGAAACGGAGGGTCCTCCTCGGGAGATTTTCGCGACGAGCAGGCGCCAGGAGGAAGACAATGAGGAGAACGAAGAGGATTTTGATTCGGAAGAAGAGGAGGAGAAGATCAAGCAGTCGATGTTGAAGGAAGATCAGGGCGAGGAGTTCAACTCTACCCAGCTACGAAAGTATCAACTGGAACGACTGCGGTACTTCTACGCCGTTCTGACATTTTCGAGCAAGGATGTTGCGAAACATGTCTATGACTCCGTGGACGGAGCCGAGTATCTATCTAGTGCCAACTTCTTTGACCTTCGATTCGTGCCGGATGACACGGACTTCTCCGACGACAAGCCGCGCGACGAATGTGAACGGATTCCGGACGGATATCAGCCGAATGAGTTCGTGACTGATGCGCTACAGCACAGCAAGGTCAAGCTTACATGGGACGCGGAAGACAAGTCGCGTAAGGAAGCTCAAGCCCGAGCGTTCAGAGGCAGTCGCAAGGATATTGACGAGAACGATCTGAAGGCCTATCTTGCCAGTGACAGTTCTGATGACGAGGCAGAAGAAGAGGCGGTGGAAGTTGTTGATACTACAAAGGGAGACGGGTCTAGTACAAAGATCTCCAAGAAAGAGGAAGAGCGCCAGCGCATGCGGGCTCTCCTGGGCTTAAGTACAGAGTCTCTCAAGTCCTCCAAATCATCTGGTCCTGTCGGCGAAATGGAGGTCACTTTCACCTCGGGCTTGGCTGGGGAGCCCAACCGCGACACCATCTTCGAGAACGAGCCTGAGAAAGAGGAGACTACGCTCGAGAAGTATGTACGGAAAGAGCGTGAGCGCAAGAAGCGGAGAAAGGAGAAGCTCAAGGCTCTGAAGCGCGGGGAAACTGAAGGGGAGGCGAATGCCGATGCCAGTGATGAGGACGCAGCGTCTGCAGGCGAGGGACAAGCTCCGCAGGAAGACTTGGGCTTCAACGATCCGTTCTTTGACGATCTGGATGGCAAGGCCACTGCTGCCGCTCGTCGCAAGGAGGAGAAACGTAAGAAGCGCGCTGAACGCGAGGCCGAGGAGGCAGCGAATGCCGCTAAGCGGGCCGAACTGGAGCTCCTGATGCTGGACGACAACAAATCAGGAATCAAACACTTTGATATGAATGAGATCGAGAAGGCACAGAAACAAGCCCGCAAGAAGAACAAGAAGAAGGCAAAGGAGCAGGCTCAAACACTCAATGACGATTTCCAGATGGACGTCAGCGATCCTCGTTTTACAAGGCTGTTCGAGAGTCACGAATATGCCATCGATCCTACCAACCCGAAATTCAAGCCCACATCGGGCATGAAAGCACTGCTGGATGAGGGACGCAAGCGACGAAGGGATGGGGACGACCGAGGGGACGAGGAACCAGACACCAGCTCGCGTGATAGGAAGAAGAAGAAGCAGAAGCAGAGCGCTGCAGGCAACGCTGGCTCGGACGACTTAAAGAAGCTGGTGGAGAAAGTGAAGCGGAAGACACAGCAGACTTGAGTCTGATTGTACTCACCTTTGTTTGATTTCTCTAGCGGATAAAACAAAAGCATAGTGG